TTATAAGCTCAATTCATTATTATAGTAGAAAGAAGTTGTCAGTGTTTTTGCAGAGTGTCTGCTCAGAGCAGAGCTCCCGTGTTTGTTTTGGTTTGGCCCAAGGTTGTACACTGAGGCCTGTGCTGCTGAGAGCTGAATGAAGCTGATTGGAGTCAGAGGACTGAAAATAAAGTTTTTAACAAGAAATCCAGCTGAATCCTGTTTACTCGGACATACCATTTTGAACAACACATATTTTCTTACAATATGTCCCCTCTAAAGACTTACAAAATCTCACTAAGATGAGCAGGATGTCCACACAGACTGAGGTAGACAGCACAATGACAAGATAGAATATAAAGACCAGAATAATGAGGGCAAACAAGGGACACCTGGAGGAGACACAGGAGGAACAGGTGAGCGAGGGGTGGGGCTGGAGGGTTGACAGATAGGAGGACAGGATGGAAAACCACTGGGATCTGCAGAGAAAAACAGAAAAGACAGATTGTGACATATCTGAAATCTGATTACCTTCAAAACCTAATTGACTGCAGATGTCAGTGTTTACCTTACAAAAAAAAACATAAAAAGGTACCAAAAAAGCAGGTGCATGCACACACACACAATGATAAAACATTAAACCCTAAAGGTAGACTCATTAACACAATAACTGTTTTGTTTTGCTTTGTTAAAGGCAGCAGCTGGAGGTAAATCGTAGCTGAAGAGAACTAAGTCCATGATCCGAAGAAGAGCCCATCAGTGTGGAGTGAGGAGGGCAGGTGGAGGATGTGGGAACAGGTCGTCCTCCTGCTCTCCACACGTCCACCTTGTTCCTCCCTCTCTGCTGCAGACGGTCCCACCAACACCACATCAGCTGCACCAAGGAGACCCCGTCACCCTGAGAACCCTCCACCCCCTCCAGCCGCCCCGTCTGTGGCTCCACCCGATCCTGTCAGCCTCCCGTGTGCTGTTCTCTTTGTTTTCCCCTCTCTGCCACTGTAAAGTTATATTCTCGGTGTTCTTATGGCTGCAGTTTATTGTTGTGCTCTTTTAAATGTACAGTATATTTATGAACAATTTGAATCTTTTTTTATGATGGGCATGAGTCTTACCTGCATTCCTAATCTTACCTGTGGTTCTTTTGCACGACCAAAGCTGCTTGTGTGAACCAATGAGTCAGAACCACCAATCTGACCGACAGATTTAATGTGTTCTCCTGACCCCTCTGATCCGATCTGTGGCATAAACCCTGCAGCATGCTAAGCTATTCTCTGTGAGCTGAACGTTACACACCTCAGTCAGACCCTGCTGTTCATGTACCTTTACAGGTTTATTGTAGTGATTTACTTGCATGATATCCAGAGTTAAAAAATACTAAGTTGGATGTTTTATTGTGCATTTTTCTCTTTTTTGGACTGAACTGCTGGTGAGTTTTGTTCTGTTGCCTCTGTGTTTACGTGTGATGGGGATCTTGAAGGCATTTTTGACTCAGCACTGGCTTCAGATCAGGTTAAAAATGGCTGCTTATTGTTTCATAAACAAAAGAAAAACAAAACGTGTTTAGTGTTTTTTTTATGGAATTTATTGTGTTAGTTAAATATCTCCAAAATGACCAAAGGTTCAATTCAAACTGAAGTGAAATGCTCCAAAACCATTTAAGTTCAAGTCCAAGCATTCATTATTTTAGCCTGTTTACTGAGCTTTAGCACATCACTTCAGTCAGAGCTGGTTAAATAATTATCTTACATGCTTGTTTAGTTTAGTGTTTATATTTGAACATGCCTTTCATTGGCTGCTCTGGTTAAGCGAGTATTTATGGAATGAAGTTACGCGCTGGAAGGATCCAGTAACTTTAGTATCGCTGATGAGTTGAGCCTTTCACAGCTTAGCTGTTTTGGGGGGG